ATGCCAGCCAGATTCCTCACTGTGTTGTGGAGGGGAAGAGCAGGGCTGTGCATGTCTCTGGCAGCTGATTGCTGTCTGCCCTGCCTCCCTTGTGCCTCCCTGCGGACATGGGTGTACCTCACCACTGGTGGAGCCCTCAGGCTAGTTCTGGAGCTCCTCCACATGCAGAAGAGTTACAGCACTGAATTCCAGCCTTTTATTTACAAGCTTTCCATTAAATATGACACAGACATAAAACTTGTTTTAAAGCCTTATTGAGCACATGTGCTTGTTGTGTGTCCTTTCCTGGCTGAGGGAATGTACATGAAGAAACATCCCATCATCTCCTCCTTATGAGGATACAATCAGTGACTAACGTGCATAGAAATTTCTGGAACTGAAAAAAAATAACAAACACTGTAAAAAATTACAAAGCAAACTCATGTGAAAACAAATTATTTTTTCTTCATCCACTAGTTTGATTTTAAATTTAACCATATAGATTTTTTTTAGTGCTATAGGCTGAAAATCCAGGTAGCACTGACTAAGAGAATATTAACTATTTTGTGTGTCATGTTTGAATTAAAGACTGAGACATTTTTGTTCTCAAAGAAGTGTTCAATATGGAAATATGCTTTCTGGGAATGCAAATAGACCACACAATGTATTTGACAATGATAAACAAATGAAGATTTGGACTGGTGTAATTAAGAACAGAAGAGACAAACTTGTGTGTGGAACCAATTTACAGTCAAATTCATATGCCTTAAAACCCCAGATTAGATTGCATGTTGCTGGATTGTCAAACTGATGTTTCAGTGCTTGGATTACCAGGTCTGCAGAATGCTATAAATTAGTTGGTAACTGTGGAGTCAACCTTTCATGGTGGAATTGGTTTAAACTTTAGTGGTGTCAATGGGAGGGAAGGATGGGATGGGGCGAGTAGTGGCTTATAGCAAGAACCAGAAGCAAGTCTTCCCAAATACAAACATACAGAACTGCAAGCCATATAACTACTGAAGAAGAAGGTAAGGTCTACCTTCATGGCAGTGTGGCTTTTCCAAACAGTGCACCAATAGGTAAAGAATATTCTTTACTTCTAAGAATTTGCACTTGCTACGTGGAAGCAAAGAAAAAAGACTATTTGGGACACATGTAAGATGTTAAGAAAGGTCATGTAGGATATGGGAGTCATCATAAACTTCTGAGCAAAGCCAACTCTGCTATTGTTAATGTCAAGAGCTCAATCATTAAAATCAGAGCTATATCCCAAACAAGATTTTCTTCAAGTCAAAAAGCTTACTAAATCTCATCACAGAAACAGGCTAGTTCAGTTCTTTACTCCTCGCTTGCCTCAATCAGCCAAATCATATTAAAAAAAAATAATAATTAGGAAGCAGAGAAAGATATGAAAGAATCTGAATGTGACTTGAGGAATTTTCTGTCTTCCTTATAATTAATTAATTCTTAAAACATGTAACAACCAGCAGATGTCTCTGCAGCCAGCTGATCAGTGATGCACACATGAGGAAAAGCAGGGAGGGAGAATTTAATGAATGGGCATTTCTCTTAAAGATTTACTTTCAGAAATGTCAAACCTACACAGAAAATGCTGGAAGAGCAGTCAGGGACTGACAGCATTATAGCAGCACTCCCTAGGAAGGAAAGAGCCTCTTACTTGATTTTACAAATAGTAACATGAATGCCTAAGAACTCTCTGCTATAAGATTGGTTAATCAAGAATAGTAAGTTTCTAGACATTAAGTCTTTGCCCATATTTTTGAGCTATTTTTGTTATCAAAAAGGGCAAGCTTGCCTCTGCCATCCTGAGACCTGACGTGTGCCTGTGGGATGAGTTCCCACAGGTGGGAACAACTGTTACAAGCATCCCCCTGCTCTGCTGCAAAGACATGCAGCTTCAGGCTTTCCTTTGTTAATGTATACACAGAACCATGTGAAAAAATAGTACTTACTGTAGCAAAACAAGACACTCTGTTGTACATCAATTTCCCGCTGTGGGGTTGGGCTGAGCTGGAAAATGAGCCAGATGATAGTTCCGAGTCACACTACTCAATGCGCTGTGGTAAGGCACTTAAATGTTATGACTGTGAGAGCAATAGAAGGAGCTATCTGATACAAAGCACATGTTTTCTACCACTGTGAACTGATTTGTAAGCCCCGTGAGTTGCTGACTTGCAGCCTGGGATCTCCTGGCAGTGTCATTTTTATTGAACCATGCTGATATTCCAGACTGCCTTGCAGGTAGATTTGGGTGATGTTTGTGCCTTGTACAGAAGCAATCCCTCTTGCCGCAGGGTTATGCCTGGATGGTTGGCTTTTGACATGGGGCAAGTGAGGAAACACCTCAGGGAGTACAGCAAGAAGACAGAAACAGCTTGAAGTCATTTTTACCCTTCCTGAGTCCTGGGTGGCCCAAGAACAAGTTACAGTTGCCTTCAATTCAGTCTGCTTATGGACTGCAGTAAAAGCAGCACCTCTTCCCTCCTCTCACAGGTGACATGAAATGAGCCTTGGAAATGTAGAGAGGCTGTTGGGTATGAGTACAGGCATTGAATCTCTCCCATGCCATGTCAGTGCTGTGAGTGGTGGGGAGCACAGATCGAGGTTGTGTGCTAAGGAAAGAACCCCTTACTCTGCCTGCTGTATTCCCTGAACTGTCAGGCCATTTGCAAGTTACAGCCCTTGCTTTAGCAACTGAGTCTCTGGCAGTAACACCTACATGCATATTTGTTCCACTTTATGGAAGGAAAATGCTAGTATGTAAATCACAGCTCTTGATTCAATTTTGGAATATAACATATGTGTAAGACCACAGTTTATCAACCATCCTCTCCTGATTTTCTAATATTTAAAATTCAAGAATCCCATTTCATTCAGGTAATGCAACAGGAAAATCCTACTGGCCTTCTGGTTCTTGGCTGAAGATGCATAACAAATGTGATCCTTCTCCTTCCTCTTTCAAATGAGGTGGTGGGTCATCCAATTTGCAGGGGGAAGAAGGCCAGGTGATAGACACTGTTATTATATGATGTATGTTTGTATAAAAGCTTTTTATTTTCCCCTTTCTTTAATTTCCACCAACTGCATTTTATTCCCTCCCTTTGTTTTAACTAAGTAGCAAATTTTCTGTATGTTTTACCACTGTTTTATGAAAAGTCTGCAGTTCATACCTGTGATGCCTGATACATGATGCTGCCACAGGAAAAGTAGCTAGTGTTGTTACAGACCTTCATCTTAATTATGAAAATTTTTAATTTAAATGTAAGACTGAGCATACAAAATACAGTACTAGGCCATCTGTTAGTTTTCCATCTGGGCTCATTTGCAAAATATTTTCTGTTTCCCCCCTAAACACTATTTATAATCTTCCTTGGAAAACAAATATGACTAATCTATGGCACACTAAAGATAGCTATTTGCATGCAGCTTTTAATAGAAGCGGCTATATGGTTCAAAGTAGTAACAAAATATACTTATCTTGTTTTGCATGCAGGTGTAAAAGCTCACATGACTTCAAAATACATACCAAAAAAAAAAATCTTCCTATTGTACTGTTTTTAACTAGCAAAAAGTGAAAATCCTCAAAATGTCTGATTTCAAGGGAAATTTACAGATGAGGATGAGCAATTAGCATTTTGAAGTCTCTGACCAGAGTTTTTGCAATGATTCTGAAGCAGCTTGTATTTCTGGCTTGCTCAGTCTGAAATGTTCCCAGAGGCCTACTTTATGAAGATGAGAACTCAGGTCATTATAAAGTTTCTTAAGCTGAGTATCTCAAAATTTGTGTAAGCACTAGGCATTTGGTCCAAATCCGTATTCCCCAGACCAGTAAAAGTATGGATAACGGATCTGGCTGTACTTCGAAGCAGCATGCATGGAAGATGCATGCATGGGCCTGATCTCATGCCATGCTCCAAGACCTTATATGGGGCACTACCAGTGTAATTCAGATGATGGGCAATGTGCTGCTGTTACGTCCTATTTTTCTTTCTCCACTCAGCACTGCAGACAGGTGAAGGCCTTATTCCTTGCTGGCTACTCCTTAATTACTCCTTTACACCTTTGAGCCAGGTATCATGCAGTACCTTCTTAGGTTGTCCTAATACATCACCTTTGGCCAAACTCGATAGTTTACAGAGTAGAAAGCAAGGAGGAACTTACTTCAAGGGCATAATGATTTGAAGGGCAGCCATTCAGTAATACCTTACTCTCCTCTTTGTCTCTTCACTTTTCAGTGGATTGAAAAATGCTTTCAGACTCGCTTGGTTATAATTCTTCACTGAAAGGCAAAGGCTGGTTTCTCCTCACTAACCTGCACGCAAAGTTCTAAACAAGTTCCTTGCACCATCATGCGGAGTCTTTTGGCAGGGGGGACTAAAATTAGAATAACTGTTTTCTAGAAAATGCATTTTAATAGTCTGGAATAACTTGCCAAGCTCCCTCACAATGCTCTTTGTCCTGGTTTCAGCTGGGATAGAGTTCATTTTCTTCCTAGTAGCTGGTGCAGTGCTGTGTTTTGGCTTTAGTCTGAGAACAATGTTGAGAACACACCAATATTTTAGTTGTTGCTAAGTAATGCTTACCCTGATCAAGGGCTCTTCAGTCTCTCATGCTCTGCCTGTGAGGAGGGGCACAAGAAGCCAAGAGGAAGCTAGTTAGGACACCTGACCCAGACTAGCCAAAGGGGTATTCCACACTACGGCATGCCATGCCCAGTATATAAACTGGGGGGAGTCACCCAGAAGGCCCAGATAGCTGCTTGGGTTGGGGTGGGTATCCGTCAGTGGGTGGCAAACCATTGTGTTGTGATGCACAATACAGGAAGCAATGGGCTGCTGTATGATACTTAGTTGCCAGCTGTGTTTAAACCATGACGCTCCTTCGGGCAGCTGCATCACATCTCATCCCTCTTGCCTGTCTGGGTTCCTGCAATCCATCTGATATGTTTTGATTTCTCCGCAACAAAGACTGTCTGGTTTTCTTTTCTCTCACATTTTCAGTAACATCTGGCATACCAGCACTGTTGCAAGCTGAAGTTTCCAGCTGCCATTACAATACAACCCTCTTCTCTACCCCAAATCTGACAAAAGCGTGGTCTCTGGCTATTGATTGTGAAATGGACCACACTTGGAAAGGTGAAACATCCTATATGCGTAATCCTTAATATACCACCTGCAAGACCTGAATACTCTATACAGCTAGCCAGTTTTTATTTTATGCTAATAGCAACAAAATGACACCCCAAAATACCACCTTTTTAATTTCTCTCTGTCAAAGATGAAAAAGCTGCCTTATAGTGTTGTATACATTTACAATGAAACAGAAAATCAGAACAGATGTAGGAGATGCAAGAGAGAGATAACATACTGAGTTCAAATGACTACAAACATTAGTAGCTATTTACTAACAATTTAATTAACTTTCTCCACCACCACCACCTCAATTTCAGTTCTTTCAGTACCATATGGCAACTGTAGTGTGCATTTTGAAAACACTCTTCCTGCAAATGTTTGCTTACTTAGGGCTAGAGGTGGCTCAGGAGCTGAGGAACACTGTGTGGCACAAGGTAGGCAAAGATGTCTTGCTCCACAGGTAAGGCTGAGCGATGTGACACTGAAACGGACCTCAGTCAGACTCTGCGCTATGTGGTGTCTCTCTTCAAAGCCTTTCAGAGCCCCTTCTCTACAGGGAGGCTTTGGTTCTTGTTGGCTGCTGTGCTGTTGCTGATTGCCCTGCTGTTTGCTCAGTCACCCTTTTCTGCTTGTGTGACAGCTGCAGTCACTCTCACCACTTCACACTGGGACCACTGAAAGGCATCACCTTGCTGCACTTTGTCTGAACCAGCTGTGGAGGCTGCTTCATGGAAAGACCTGTGTTACTCAGTGGGACTCAGCCAGCACAGAAGTAGGAAATGCACATGTAGTTAATCCTTTTCCTGAAGCCTCTCCTCTTAGTTTCCAAATAGAAAATAGAAAAACATGAAAAAAGACTGTTCAGCAACACATTGGTAGTGGAGCTTACTCTTGATGTGACAAAAGTCCCTCTTCCTGAGCCAGCATCAGCACTTATCCTTCCCTGATAAGTCAATAGAGCTATCAGAAGTCCAGTCACTGTTCTCTGCTGCACGTTTTCTGCATCTGGGATGCAGGCAGGAGAAAAGCACCTCTCTACCTTTTGCACTTGCAAAAGGAATTTTACAGTAGGGAAGAGAAAGGAAGGGGAAGGAGAAGGGGAAATGGATGGAAGGGGAAAGCGAAAGAGGGAAAGGAAAAAGAAAGGGAAGGAGGAAAGGGAAAAGGAAAAGTAAGGAAAGGAGAAAAGGAGGGGGGAAAGGAAGGGTAAGGGAAGGGTAAGAGGAATTAAAAAGGGAAGGGGGAGGGGAAAATGAAAAGGAAAGGGAAAGGGAGAGGGAGAGGGAAGAGGAGGGGAAAGAAACCTCTGTTTTCCATTTGTTGTCCTGGAGGGAAGTTTTCCCTGCAAGAAAGTCTAATTTAACACTGTAAATGGAGCACTCCTGGCTGGGATAGTATGAGGTCAAAGTCACAAATAGCATAACTTACATTTCTCAGTAGGCCAAGACTGGTTGAATGGGTTCAATGGAAGCGATTCTGAACTCTCAACAGAAGTTATATGATTGTATTTCACAGAGATGTAATAAAATTTACATACAACAAACATGCTGGTCAGTCTGCATGTCCATAGGCATGAGATTCAGGGTTTTACATGGCTCGTAAGGCTAAAACTCCCACAGCAGTTACAGTTAAGTAGAAATGACCCAGTGTTTAGAAGTACTAAACACTCAAACATTTTCGTCTGGATTTGCTCTGGACTTTCGAAAATCATGTTACTCTTATTGAGAAACTATAGCATTAGATACCTGCAAATTACTTCTTTGGCAAATGGTATGTTGAGAGGTCTGCCCTCAAGGTTACTGTTATTTTAGCCTCTGTGTTGGTTACTGTCATGAAAATGGTTACTCCTCCTAAGAGGATTTTGCAGAATCTATTCTGGAAATTTCTTCATGCTTTAAGTCAACTTTTAAATAAGCCAAAATCCATACTCTTTTATTTAAAGCACTTTAGGAAACAACACCCTGAAAAAAAAAATTAAAAAGAAATATAAAAAAGTCAGATGGCAGATTCATGGAGTTATTGTTCCTTTGATCTTCCCAAGTTAAAGGAAAATCTTCCATAGCCACATAGAAAAAATAACCCCTCCACTAACAAAATGTCCTGATTTATTGTTTTCATTATAGTAGCTTTAATTTAATTTCATTTATCATTATGTCTATTTCACATACTTTACTACTCAACACTTTTATTTTCAGTCACTTCTGTTGCTTATAAATGAACATTTGTTAGTGCCAAGTGAATCAGCAGCCAATTATTAACTTTACACAACCTGAAATGCCAGTCTCTCACTTTCTGGGATGTATGCATATACAGTAATCCCTGGTTAAAGAATTAAAAACTAGCTTTTTTTTTTTTCTCCTTTACACTTTTGCAAAACAGGAGTACTTTGTTGTTTCTGAAGAACATTATGCAGGTGGGGACCACACATTTTAATGCCACTCCATTTGGAATTTGATCTTGAAATAATTTGAATAGTGGTTTAAATAATGACTCTCTGAACCTGCTACAGGTGGTCTGGTGTTATCCAAACTTAGTGGTAAAGAACACATACACTTTATGTTATTTTCCTTTGAAATTAAAGACAGCAGATATTTGACAGAGACTTCTTTAAATACACCACAGTTGCATGCATGTCAGAAAATTTTTGCAGATACGGTGGCCAGCAATGGTCAATACTGTTGAGACAGTTAAGAACCTGTAAGAACAGGCTTGCATATACAGGTTGTTAAGTCTTCATGCCAAAATCAAGACCCAGTCTTTTAAGAGGCTTTCTTATATTCCAGAATATTTCCACATTCATCTCAGCCACTTCATAGTATTCAGTATACGAAATCGATGGCAATTGGTTTGAGAACACTTGTAAACCTGGCAGATGTTTTAGTTGCAGATCTGGCATTTAGGGAGGTGCATGGCTGGGGAGCAAAGCAGAACAATTTTTATCCTTCAGAGTGCAAGGAAGAATTGTGAAGTCTGTCTATATCCATCATCCATTAATTAAAAACTCTCCTACAGTAGTCATTACCACTAAATAGCATCTTCATCATCATGAGGCAGTACTGAAGAAAACACCACATGGCATAATCTAGGACTGCTGTGCAGTTTTCCTTCTCAGGAATCACAAAAGCTATCAGTAATGACAATTTTTCTTTGAGAAATGCAGAGTAAAATTAAGTGACAGCATCCTCTTCACTCTGATCACTTTAGGCATCGTCTCTGCCATTTGATCAGTGTCATGTGTGTAACAGGATATGGGATTAGGTGGGACAATTCATCTCTGGTTCAAAGAGCAAGAAGATAGGTGTTCCCCTCAAGTGTGTATTCGTCCAAGCCTCCTCAAAGATAACTGTGTGTATAGACCCTAGCTCGTAGAAGAACTACCCAGACAAATGAGACTGGTTAAGTATTAGGAGGGCAGAAGCATGTTAGGTGTGTTCATCAGTACCCTAAAAACCAGGACATCCTCTGGGGAGACTGACTGCAATCGAATTCTATTCCCTCTGACACTGTAAATCATTTCCTCTTTTATTACAGCAGACACCCTGAAGTTTCAGCTGATCTCCTTTCTAAACAATCCTCAGAGGATGGGTCCCAAACACATAAACGTGTGAACCATTTTGAGAGAAGAATGAAAACAATCCGAAAACAATCTCAGTGTTGTCAAGACATATCATGATCGGATGGCTTTTTTCCTCAGTATGATCATGCTAGGTGCCCAGTCAGGTTTCCTGCAGTACTTTGCTATACATTCTAGTTTCCTGCCCTGGCTTTTTGTTGAACCACCATTTGCCTCTCACATATGTTTCTGGATGGGCAGTGGGCAGAGCAGAGTGACATGGGGGGTTTAGTGCTGTTTTTCTGAGTGGTTACCTACCGACACAGAGGTTCCATCTCACCACCTCCTTTGTCAGTACAGGAGCTCACTGCTCTGGAAACATCTGTTCCGGGAGAGCTTATGGTAAGAGCTGGAATAGTTTCTTGTCCTTCAGACTGCCTGCAAAGACACATCACAGAGCTGCATGCCCCTGGGCATGAATCTTCTTCACACCTTGGTTATCATTTTCTCTCCAGAACAATTTAGCTACAGACTGTCACCTGTCTTGTTGAGACATTTCATTTAAAAAGCCCCATTCATGTGTTGCTGTCATGAACAATGAAAATGCTGCAGCTGCTGGAAAGCCTCATATACAAGACAGGATAGTGAACCCAAAGTAATCACCACAGTCCATCTGAATGAACCATGACAAGTTGCTCCTGGATCTCAGAGCAGACAGTAGGTCACGTTGCCATCAAGGAAACAAAGCTTGCCATGTTCAGCTACTGCCATACCACTTCAGAAGCAGAGAAGGTGATACAGGTTTGTTTTGGAACCTCAAGCTTTTGTGGACAAAGGCAAAAAACTAACCATAGTTTTCTACTAGCATAAGAAAAAAGTCACGTTAACGTGGTTCAGAGGACCCAAAATTCATTGCAGTCCTGCAGAGTTATACCTAGAAAGCTCCATCAATACTGTGGATTTGCAGCTTAATGTCAATGGGGTCAATGCAGTGCTCAGTCAGTCCCCATGTGCTTGATAGCATGCAGAAACAAATGGAGTTTACACTTCCAAGTCAGCAGTATGGTTTTAAGAGATTCTGTGGTTCATTTCCCAGAAGATGGAGAACCAGCACAATACAGCCTGAGTCTGATTTTTAAAGAAAGAATGACTCATTTATTTGGGTCATGCTTTATTTGAAAAAGAAGGAGTGCATTCTGTACTGCCCATTCCCAAAAGGGACAAACATGCCCTGTACTCTGTTCTGGTAAGTCTGATGCAGACACAAGTTATTCCTTGAACAGAAGTCCTCACAAGCATTGCACAAGTGTACCTCTCCAGGAACGGCTATACAGCACTCCTGCCTTGTTCCCCAGAAGCTGTGTTTTTCCAAAAACCACTTGATTAGAGAGACAAAACCAGGAAAGCCAGACTTTGCAGTCTGCTGTTTATTCAGTTAGATCGATGTTCAGTACAAACAGCTCCGAGCTCCTTAGGCTATGGTAAGATTTTTTTCTTCACTGGTGGCTAGAGTAAATCCAGTCATCTGCTGAAGCTACCTGGAGCTATCCCAGGGTGGGAAAACCAGAGATAGACCACATCTATTCTACTGAACTTGGCCAGTTTGAGGAAGGGATGGGGATTGTTTTCATACAGCTGGGTGTAAAGATAGTGAGTATGTCTCAGATAATGGTGATATAATTGCTACAGAGAGCTACCTTCCACTAAAGAAGGGAGTGACAGTAAGACACCTCCTAGGCTGCCATTCCTGAACCCCCTCATCATCCCAAGCCCTTGGTGTCCTGTGGTTGAGGTAGAAACAGAAAAAAAGTGCAGATATGACTGTGGGAGAAAATACTCTTCCAAATAGCTGTTAACGCTGCTTTCAGCTTTGAAAACTTCTTTGCCAAGACACATCTCTACCTTGAAGAGATCACTGTTCCCAGGCTGACATTAGAGGCCAGAGGGGCAGTTGCACCAAGAGGACTTCAAGCAGCATGACTGATGTTGGCTCTAAACTGGCAGCAGAGAAGACCTGCTCCAGAGCTACTGCTGAGCCACGGGGTGTGCTTAAAGGGTTCAGAGTCAGGCCCTTGCTCACTCAGTGAGGCAAGTATCTGCAGACTCTTGAGAAAAGGGGGAAGGGTTTATCTCAAGAGATTTGCAGCTTAGTCATTGTGGGGTTTCTTTTTAGATGGCGACTGCCCTCACCTGCCTTCTAGTGCAAAACTGCATGACTGACAACCACAGTCAGGCTGGTTCCTGGCTTTTAGGAGCACAAGACAGGGCAGTACATGGCCACAGGAGCATAGCAGAAGAAAGCTGAACCTTGTCTTTATACCTCTCTGCAAAAGATGCAGGATTGAGGTTCCCTCCAGTCACCTCCTGAAGTTGCAGCATTCACCCCACCTCACTTGCTTGACAAGACACTGTGGACAAAGCCAAACAGCAGCACATTTTCCTATCCTATCACTCTCTGGGAGTTTTACCTTACACTACAAGGGTCTGTCCTTTCTTTCCCCTTCACTCCTTCTTTCACAAGATTTTTTTTCATTTTAATCTCTCACAGCTTCCCTTGGCTCTAGTCCTGAAAATTACTCTTCTCCTCATCAGAACCTGAGCCTGTATTTAACAGCTGCTTTACATTAATATGCTTGTATTAAAATATTCTATGTTGCAACATTCTGATTTATCTATAGATCTTTATTTTTGGAAAACATTGCTTTTTACAGCTTTCTAATTTATATAGCCATTTGTTTTTGCTGTCAAAACATTTTTAATTTTAATTACTGTGTATCATGCTTCTGGGTATGAAACTGTCAGATAAATCTCAGTATCTGCATAAACATGTGGGGAACTGCATGTGTTATCACTCAACAATTGCTAGTGGGCAGTTAGCAAACTTGTCTGGGATCTGTGTTCAGCTGCTGCAAAACAGCAGTGATAGGATGAAGTACTGATTAGTTGTCAAACCATATGCAGTTACAGAATCTTAGAATCATAGAATAGTTAGGGTTGGAAAGGACCTTAAGATCATCTAGATCCAAACCCCTGCCATGGCAGGGACACCTCACACTAAACCACGCCACCCAAGGCTCTGTCCAGCCTGGCCTTGAGCACCACCAGGGATGGAGCATTCACAGCTTCCTTGGGCAACCCATTCCAGTGCCTCACCACCCGAACAGTAAAGAACTTTCTCCTTATAGCCAATCTAAACTTCCCCTGTTGAAGTTTGAACCCATTACCCCTTGTCCTATAAAGGTGTACAGTCCAACAAGAGTCCCTCCCCAGCATCCTTACAGGCCTCCTTCAGATACTGGAAGGCCGCTATGAGGTCTCCACGCAGCCTTCTCTTCTCCAGGATGAACAGCCCCAACTTTCTCAGCCTGTCTTTATAGGGGAGCTGCGCTAGTCCCCTGATCATCCTCGTGGTCCTCCTCTGGACTTGTTCCAACGGTTCCATGTCCTTTTTATGTTGAGGACACCAGAACTGCACACAATACTCCAGGTGAGGTCTCACAAGAGCAGAGTAGAGGGGCAGGATCACCTCCTTCGACCTGCTGGTCACGCTCCTTTTGATGCAGCCCAGGATGCCGTTGGCTTTCTGGGCTGTGAGCGCACACTGCAGCCAGCTCATGTTCATTTTCTCATCAACCAACACCCCCAAGTCCTTCTCTGCAGGGCTGCTCTGAATCTCTTCTCTGCCCAACCTGTAGCTGTGCCTGGGATTGCTCCGACCCAGGTGTAGGACCTTGCACTTGGCATGGTTAAACTTCATAAGGTTGGCAACAGCCCAACTCACAAGCATGTCAAGGTCCCTCTGGATGGCATTCCTTCCCTCCAGCGTATCAACCAAACCACACAGCTTGGTGTCATCGGCAAACTTGCTGAGGGCGCACTCAATCCCACTGTCCATGTCAGCGATGAAGATGTTGAACAAGACTGGTCCCAACACCGATCCCTGAGGGACACCACTCGTTACTGGTCTCCAGCTGCACATTGAGCCATTGACCACAACTCTTTGTGTGCGGCCATCCAGCCAGTTCTTTATCCACCGAGTGGTCCATCCATCAAATTGATATCTCTCCAATTCAGAGACAAGGATGTCGTGTGGGATGGTGTCGGACGCTTTGCACAAGTCCAGGTAGATGACATCAACTGCTCTATCCCTGTCCATCAGTTCCATAGCTCCATCATAGAAGGCCACCAAATTGGTCAGGCAGGATTTCCCCTTAGTGAAGCCATGCTGGCTGTCACCAAGCACCTTGTTGTTTTTCATGTACCTTAGCATGCCTTCCAGGAGAATCTGCTCCAAGATTTTGCCCGGCACAGAGGTGAGACTGACTGGTCTGTAATTCCCTGGGTCATCCATTTTCCCCTTCTCGAAAATGGGGGTTATATTTCCCCTTTTCCAGTCATTGGGAACTTCACCTGACTGCCACGATTTTTCAGATATGATGGCCAGCAGCTTCACAACTTCATTTGTCAGCTCCTTCAGGGCCCACGGATGGATTTCATCAGGTCCCATGGACTTGTGCACGTTCAGGTTCTTAAGATGGTCTCAAACCAGATCCTCTCCTACAGTGGGCCCAAGGTCTTTATTTTCACAGTCCCTGCATCCGCCTTCCAAGCCTTGGGTGGTGTGGTCAGAGCATTTGCTGGTGAAGACCGAGGCAAAGAAGTCATTCAGAACCTCAGCCTTCTCCAAATCCAGGGTAGATAGTTCTCCTGATAGCTTCCGGAGGGGGCCTACATTGTCCCTAGTCTGTCTTTTATTGACTACATACCTATGGAATCCCTTCCTGTTATCCTTAACATCCCTAGCCAAGTTTAATTCTAACTGGGCCTTAGCTTTCCTAACCTGGTCCCTAGCTTCCTGGACAACATCCCTGTACTCTTCCCAGGCCGCCTGTCCTTGCTTCCACCTTTTATAAGCCTTTTTTTGCCCCTGAAGCTTGCCCAGCAGCTCCTTATGCATCCAAGGATGTCTCCTGGCCCTTTCTTCTAGTTGGGACACAACACTCCTGAGCTTGCAGTAGGTGATCCTTGAATATCATCCAACAGTCTTGGGCCCCCCTGCCCTCTAGGGCTTTATCCCATGGAACCTTACTATCTTGAAGCCCAGGGCAGTGAGCTTGCTGCGCGCTCTTCTCACTGTCCTGAAGATCTCGAACTCAACCATCTCATGATCACTGCATCCAAGGCTGCCCTGGAGCATCACATTTCCAACGAGCCCTTCCCTGTTGGTGAGCACAAGGTCAAGCATGGCACTTCTCCTTGTCAGCTCCTCTGTAACTTGCAGAAGGAAGTTGTCTTCCACACAATCAAGGAACCTCCTGGATTGCTTGTGTTTGGCCATACAGTTCCTCCAACAGACACCAGGGTGGTTGAAGTCCCCCATGAGGACAAGGGCCTATGAGCGTGAGGCTTTTCCTATCTGTCTATAGAGTGCTTCATTCACAGAGTCCTCTTGATCATACGGTCTGTGACAGATCCCAACAGTAATGTCCCCCATAGCTGTTCTTCCTCTGACCCCAACCCACAAACTCTCTGTTGACTGATCACCTGTCCTCACACAAAGTTCCATACTCTCCAGCCTATCACTGACATAAACAGCCATTCCCCCTTCCCCGCCTGCCAGGCCTGTCTTTTCTAAAGAGCCTGTAACCTTCCATTCGAACACCCCAGTCATAGGAGCCATCCCACCATGTTTCTGTGATACCTATTATCTCATACCCCTGTAGATGTGCACACATCTCTAATTCCTCTTGTTTGTTCCCTGTGCTAAGGCATTTGTATAGAGGCATGTGAGCCAAGCTCCAAATAAAGCCAACTCATTGGCTGGAGTGGCTGAAATATCTCTACATTGCTCCGAGCATTTATTATAGGTGCTGGCAACTGACTGGGTGTGTTGGGATGGAATGATGCCTCCCTCCCCCAACACATCTAGTTTAAAGCTTTCCTGACCAGCCTGGCAAGCCTCCTACCAAAACTGCGCTTCCCCTTAAGACCAGCTCCAGTAGACCTGACCTCCCAGATTGAGTCCCATGTTCTAAATACCAAACCTCCTGACTCCAGCACCACCCTTCTAAACATTTATTAACCTGGCAAATCTGCCCAGCCTTTTTAAGGTCCTCCCCTTCATCCTGGATAATTAATGAAAAGACAATCTGAGCTCCAAAGCCCCTAACCACCTCTCCCAGGGCTCTGTAGTCCTTTATGTTCTCTGAGCTACTACTATCTATATCCTTAGCACCCACATGTATCACCAGGAGTGGGTAATAGTCCATGGGACTTACTAGAGGAGGCAGCCTCTCTGCAACATCCCTGATCTGAACCCCTGGTAGGCAACACACCTCCCTTGAGACTGGGTCAGGCTAACAGATGAGTGCTCCTGGTCCTTTCAGAGTCCCCTACTACTACAACCTGCTGCTTTTTCCTGGCAGCACCAGTAGCGATGATCTTCAGCAGTGCATAAGCCGGTTTTTCATGTTGAGAGGTGTGTGTTTCCTCTTTAGCCCCCTATAGAACTGCAAAGCGGTTTTGGGTGGAGACAACAGATTTAGGAGGAAGCCCCTTGCTTTTAATTGTCCTCTTCCTCCTTTTTTTGTCTTTTTTTTTTTTTTTTTGTGCTACTATTTCCCAGCTTCCTGAGTTAGTGGCCTCCCTTCCTCCATGAGCTACGATGGACACTTGAGGCCTCTGCACAGTTTGGGCCTGGAGCAAGCAGTCCTGCTTCCTCTCCAAGAAGAGGAAGCCGAGTGCAGCCCTGCCCATTGCGCACCCTCCCCTCACCAGACCAGTGCAGGCACTCTCTACACCCCGAGCTCTGCACTGCAGCCTCCCCTCTCACTGGCTCTGTCTGGGTGCCTACGCTTGCCACCACCGGGTCAACCAGAGCAGAGCTCCCGGACCGGGCCCTGGTCGTAAGGCGACTGCTCACCATCACCCCAGAACTACCACGCCGTGCTCCTGGCTGCTCGCGCTCCCTGGGGCAGGTTTTTACCCACTCATGGCTGGCGCCGCTGCTCCAGGCTCCCCCCCCCATGAGTCAGCTGCTCGCTCTCGTCAGCTGAGCTGCCGGCTCCTGGGCAGGTCCTGTCGAGGACTTGAGGCTCCCTCGGTGGCTCTCATCGCTCTGAGTTGAGGCTCCTGCACACTGAGCTCTCCCTGCTCAGGTGTTGAAGGCGTCCTCTCTCGAGCTACTCACCTCAGCAATGTCCTTGGCTACAACGTGGCAGACTGTTCAGACTGCACAGCCGCTCAGCAAAGTAGCATCACAGCCAGCTTCAACTCCAGTCAAGCAAAGCTGAAGTGCTCATTTGGCAGACAATAGATCTGTTCTGTTTTTAAGCGAAAAAGTGGCATCATTTGCTGTATTGGGTGACCAGCATACAGGTGGCCATAGCTGTCAGTCCCTAGGAGCAGAAAATGGTTTTTGGCCTTTCAAACAAAGATAAGTGTATTTCTGCATGCAGTGACTGGAATCCCCCTTCTCATGCCTAGGAGAAGGAGAGGAGCTCTACAGAGCCAGCAGCTCTGTGCTGCTGATCCCATGTCGTAACAGAGCACTGTGAGCGGTCACTTATGCCTGCGCAAAGTAGCCTTTCCTCCCCAGCTGAGGGTCTGAACAAAGGCAGGCAGAGGACCCATAGCACTGAGTTGCAAGTCCCAGGCTCT